ACATCTGTCGTGTCGATCGAGCCGCTCGACCTTGGCGGGGGCACGCCCGCCCCCGAGGGGGCAGGACGACCCAGCCGGAGGCCGGGCAGGCGCAGTCGCGGCGCCCGAGCCCAGACGGCCAGCCGGGGCGCACAGGCGCGGCTCCGTCCCCGGCCTGCTGCTCTGACCAGGTTCCCCGCGAGCTGTGGCTCTCCGGGCAGCAACAGCGTCGCCCCACAAGTGTCACGTATGCAAACCCTCGGACCCCGCCCCGGACCTGCACTGTGGGAACTCGGGGTGCGGCCCTGGGGCCTTCCGTGGCTGGCGAAGTTGGAGAACCGCTCAACTCGCAGCGCCCCGCCGAGGCTGCAGCAGAAGTGGAGCCCTTGGGGTGAAGGTTAGGGGGAGCCACGGTCTCTTTTTAAAGTTGGTGCCGTAGAGGGGAGCCTCCTTGCTCGGTCTGAGCCGTCTTGGCGGAAAATCGAAAGCTGTACGAAGCTGTTGCGCAGGGGCAGGGCGGGACTGGACTTCATGGCCACTGGCCATCACTTTGCCCACCAGCTGTCAGTGGGTGACCCGCGTGTTACCCCAAGCTTGTGTTTTTCTTTTTCAAATAGAAAACCGAGAGGATATACTGAATGCCAGCGACAAATTAACGGAGGCCCTGGAGGAGGCCAACACTCTGTTTAATGGAGGTAACTGGCTATTTCGTGAGTGGCGGGTGGCTGAGACCCCTGAGCATCATTTTGATGGGAGTTAGGAGAGGGCCACGTGGCGAGCATCCAGCAAGCACCTTAGTGCTTTTGTCTTTAGTTTCTTTTGAAACAGTTTTCATTGTAGCAAGAATAGTACTTGTTGCTTCTCCTAAGCCTCCGCTGCAGCCTTTAGGAATGCTGAGGGAGCAGGCGGTGTGTTGAGACGCCTGGGGGGTTCTGGGGCCCGCTAGGTGTGAGGGTGCAGTATCCAGCTGTGGTTCTGCTCCAGTCCCAGGATCCAGCCGAATGGAGGCTGAGGGGGCTGGGCCCTGGCGTGGCTTCCTCTTTCTGGCTTCCCCCAGCTTCACCTGCCCCTCTGAGGCTCCTTGGCCACTTACCCTTTGCTGCCTGGGTCACCTGTAACCCAATCCCGGGCGTGAAAGCGAGGCCTCCCTGGCCCCTGAGCGGGAGACCACGGGGAGCGCACTTTCAAGTCCACCGTGGTGTGGGCAGCGGCAGTGGTGTTAGTGGAGTGGCCTGAATGTCTGGTGACACGTCCGGGCACCCCGATGCCGGCACCGAGCGAAGCCCCTCCAACGCATTTCCCTCCAAGCCCTCCTTTAACAGTTCTGCGGGGAGGGAAAAACCGGAACTTAGGGCTGCAAACAGGGATCCGGAGAACTTGGGCTGCCCCGAGCCCACAATTCCTCATGTTTGTGGAACTCACGCATCTTTAAGTCTCGCCTTCCTAGTGTGGCTCCCGGTTGCAATGTCTCCTCTGGATTTCTCTGAGTGTTTCTGTCTCCTTCACCGTGGTCTCCTTTCCCTCCCTGTCTTGGTCTCGTGTTTGCAAGGCCTCCCCAAAACCTTCAGGAACCCACACTCCCTTTCCCTCCTCGCTTCCTTCTGCCCTGGCTGGGTTGGGGGCCCCCGGCTTCTGGCCTCTCCTGCTTGTGCCCTGTACAGGGAGTAAGTTAGTTCCTGACCCCCCCTCTGCTGCTCCCACAGTGCTGGCGGGGGGTGAGGGGGTGCTGCACGAATGCCAGGCCCCCGTGCTGGTCGGTGCAGGGGAATCCTGGCATTCGTGGACCGGCGCCCAGTTTCACCCCGTAGAGCCATTAAGCTGCTGTGGTGTGGTGACTTGACTTCTCTCCCCCTGGCCTTGAGGCCCAGGGCGAGGGCGCTCCAGACTGGCCCAGGACCTGCCTCTCTTGAATCTCTGTCAGTGCCTGATTAAGGGGTAAAATCTCAAGAGCTGGAGTCACAGGTCTGACAGCTTGAGGAGGTTGTGATTCAGGTGAAACGCCTCAGGAGCAAGCCAGGCTGCGGCGTGTGTTTGAGCTCTGCCGTGTTGGTGTCTTCTTGGCTTCTTTTTCATTTGCCTTTGCAGGGGCTCCCCGAGCATCCCTTGGCCCCGTGGGTCTGCCCAGTCTGCTGGGCCCTGTGTTTCCCCTGGGCCCCTTTCCTTAAATTCGTCCTCGGTTTTTCTTTTATCTCCTTCTTGTCTCCTTCATTCCTTCCCCCTTAAATCCTGTGTCCTCTATCAAGCCACCCTGGCCACCCCCCTCAGTGGTCATGGCCTGCAGCGGTCACTGCTGTGTGGCTTGCCGGCATCTGCTTGGTCCAGCAGTTGGGCGTTGTTTCTTCTTGACCACTGGCCTTACTGCTGCGCAGGGCACTTCCTTGGCACTGGCGATGGGGCGAGGGGGGCGCCTTCCTGGGCCCCTGGGAAAAGCCGTAGCAGAGCTTGTTAGCCTGGGGGTACTGGCAGGGGGCTGTGTGGCTCCCAGGAGTGGGAAGTCTGGAGAGAGCTGGGGTATAGTCAGCTTCGGGTGGAGTTTGGGAAGAGTAGAGGAGGGTCAGTTTTTTTTGTTTGTTTGTTTTTATTTTTACATCATTTTGTACATTTTTTTTTTTTCCATCTCAATTGTAATCCCCGCGGGTTCCCCATCACCAAGTCACCCATGTGCCATCACCATAATCCCGTGCATTTCGAGGAGGGTCAGTTTTTAAGGGGAGAGGGCTAAGTCGGAGATTGGTTTTGGTCCAGTGGGAAATGGCCAGTAAGTCATTGGAAATTTAGGGGAGATACCTGTGGCTGGTGTGTGCTTCTGTCGTATATATATTTTCTGTCTCTGAATAGTGTCCCGAGCAAGAGAAGCCGTCTTGGATGCCCAATTTCTCGTTCTGGCTTCGGATTTGGGCAAAGAGAAGGCGAAGCAGCTCCGTTCTGATCTGAACTCGTTTGACATGCTGAGATACGTTGAAACACTGGTAAGAGAGTCACTGGGTCGTGATGAGAAACGCTTCCTGTCACGCTGTATCCACGTGTGAATGGTTTTCACTTCTTGTTTCCCTTTTGGGTGGTGCCTAGTTTTCCCACAGGTGTTACCAGATGGGACTCATGAAGGTGGAACCTCATGGTGGAATTGGGGGGGCCTAGGGCAGTTTGCACTTGGCCAAGAAGATGGTGCTGACGCTGTCACCGCACGGCTTCGTGAGCGAGCCAGCTCATCCCCCACCCTTGCCCAGGGTTGAGAGCCAGCCTGTGTGGCCGGAGGCAGAGTGCAGCTAGACAGGCTTGGGTCTGTCTTTGAGACAGTTTCGGAACCACACCCATGTATGGTGACCGATATGGGGTTTGCTTTCTTGTTTTTTTTTTTTTTTTTTTTCACATTTCCTTGCGTCTTACGTTCACATGCGCGTCAAACTTGGATTTTAAGCTGCCCCTTGAGGGGGTCACCAGAAACAGCCTCCGGCCCCTGTGCCTTTCACTGTTGACTTCTTTCTCCTTGGTCGGCCCTGAGCCTACCTCTGTCCTGCACTCCGTGTGGATGTTGAATTTCTAGCTCGATGTTTGTGAAGTGCTTATTAAAACAGCTTAGTCCCTTGAGTGCTGAGCTGATCAGTGAACTGTTTTATAAAGGTAGAAGGCAAGTGAGATTTCTGCTGTTTTTAAAACTTTACCTTTTTAAAAATGCAAACTTGCTAAAGTTGAAGACCTTAGGATTTTTGTTAATCTCTTTATTGTGAAGTATAGTGCACTTTGAAAGATACCACTAACGTACAGTTCAGTAAATAAAGTGACCATGTATTGCATTCCCTTTTTAAAAATTACTTTTATTTATCAGAGTAAGCTTTGTCCTTTAACATACCAAAATAAATTCTAGAAGTTTAATGAATTCAATTGAAAGCCTGAAATTAAGAGCTGTACGGCTTGGGGGAGATAGCTTAGGGTAGGTCTCTCTAAGTGTAATACCAAACAGACGGTGAATTAAAAATGGGTGGGTGTGACCAGACAACAGTGGGAATGCCCGCCTACAAGTGTGAGTGCAGGAAGGGGAGCAGGAGAATCGGGGGCTCATCCTCTCTCGCTGGTCTCCATTCTGTGAAGTTGATGGCCTAAATAGGGTTAAACTTTCAGAGGGATTTTGATTATTGTTTTTGTGTGATATGACCATGTTAATTTGATAACTTCTAGCCATCTTATAATATAAAAGTATGATTTTATAAATGCAAATTTATTTATTTTTAAATATTTACTTATGGATACAAGAACTGAGGTGCAGGCCAGATGTGCAGGGGGTGAGAGGATTCACCAGAGACAGAGTGGGGAGCAGAACAGGGGGGAGCAGAACAGGCAGACTGAAATACATGGCTGAGGGGAGCAGCGGGCAGGACAGGTGAGGTCTGTAGCGCCGTGTGGGCCACTCCCTGGCCGGGGATCGAACTCGTGCTACAGTGGCTGTGGACAGCTTGCTTCACAGTGCTGTGCTTCAACGTGCTGCACCGCCAGGGAGGGCCTGTAAAAGGTTACCTTTGCAAGAAGAAAATTAGCCAATGTTAGGACGCTAAAAACAGGCTCTGCCTCCAGGCTCCTCGCTTTAGTGACAGGTTATTGGGAGTGGTGGATGATTGCCTGTGGCTTAACTGGGTTTTTTTGTTTCCTTCCCTTTTGTAGCTGACACATATGGGTGTAAATCCGCTAGAAGCTGAAGATCTCATCCGTGATGAAGATAGTTCTGACTTTGAACTCATTGTCTATGACTCCTGGAAAATATCAGGCAAAACAGCAGAAAACACCTTTAATAAAACCCATACATTCCACTTTCTGTAAGATTATTTTCAAAATCCAACAGACCAGCCATTTGTAAACCTGAAACTGCTTTTTATTGTAGAGACGGAACCAGTTGCTGTTCTGTAGAGGCTCTGACTGTGATGCTTTAGTTTAAACTTTCTTAGGTTTGATTTAGAAGCCCATGAAATCTGGCTGTGTCATTTCAGCCAGAGTGGCTGCAGGCCAGCCCTCCTTCCCAGGCCCGCCTGGCCCCTGTTTGCTAGTAGGGGAGGTTTTGGCCAGTGACGTCATGTGGGCCTTGTTTTATCATCTTTAAAAGCCTCGCAGGCTAGTCCCTATAGAGGGTCTCTTTCGATTCTGCCATGGTCTGCCGTTTATAACTTACTAGATGGTCACAGACCTGTATTTAGATTGTTGGAGTCTTGTCGCGTAAAGTGCCCCGTTCATTTTTGGATACAGCTCTAATTTTGCAAAACTTTTCTCTATATGCATGAAATTAGCTTTGGTTTTCACTTCTTAGCTCGGGCCTATGGGAAACAAGAGCAGCAGCCACTAGATCTTTTGTCCAACAGCCTTGAAATACATAGGTTGTGTACCAGGTGGATACTTTCCAATGCAGTACCTAATGTAGTAATGCAATGAGCGTTGTGTCTTCCATAACTGAAAGGGCTCCTGGGTGTTCTGATTCCCTCTTCTAAATCTCCTGAGATCTCTAGTGTCTCAGTTAGCTGCTTGGGAGATGCAGGTGTGGTCAGTCAGTGTTGTGGGGCCAGTAAGTTTTGACCTTCTGTTATCGAAGGTGCCAGAACCAGTGTGTGTGTGAGATAGCTCAAACGTGTTTGCCACCGCATCAAATCCCAATTTGTATTCCTTGTTGCTTTTCTAGACTCTTATCAGAAATCCTAGAATCTAGAGATAAACTTTTACAGTGTGACAAATCTCTCCCCCCCCTCCAGCCACCAGGAAGAACATAGCCTTGTGTCCTTGCCCTTGATGCTTCCTCAGCCCACATTGTCCTTTCGACCATCTTCCCCTGTGAGGCTTACTTACCCTGTAGGCCCCTGCTTGGAAGCTTCCAGCCACTTCTCAAGACCGGGGTACGGGGCAGGCTGTTTCTTGTCTCCCCATACTCGAGTCCAGTGCTCTGGAGCCTGAGTAGCCTGCTGACATGACCTGTGTGCGGGAACATCTGTCCTTTCAGTCGACTGATCTGCCCAAGTCTGCTCTATATTCTCGGTCCCTTGATCACCACCTGTTGCGTCTATTACTGTAACTTACATCTTCTGCATTAGGTTTTAGGGACAGGGGCTGAAGGGAGTCGGAAGGGGTAGGGAACCCCGTATCACTGCTGACTGTCATCTTAAGACTGGTGTGTTCTGTGGAGTCAGGCTGTGAGCCCCAGACTTTAGCTGTCCCCCTGCCCCACACGTTCGTCCCGCCCTGGTCTCAGAGCTTGGCTTTGCACCTTAGAGAAGAGGCTATCGGGGAAGACCTGAGGCAGGTCCACTGTCAGGAGCAAACTGCAGGTTTTCGGAGGGAGGAGCTGAGTGAAACGGGAGCAGAAAGGAGGTGCGAGCCGACAAACATCTTGTCTGATGTCAGCGCCCGTGTCACGGGTGCCTGGTCTGGATTTGACTAAGTCAGGGAGCTGCTTTCATTGAGTGAAATTCGTTTGTTTAAAACCAAACCAAATCTGAAAGCCTATTTTTTGTTAGGTTGGGTTCAATACAAGGAGAGTTGCCGGTGCCCAAGCCACGGACTGATCGGCCTAGAAAGGTCCCCCTGATAGAGGAGCAGCGAGCCATGCCTGCCCAGGTTGGTGATTTACTTTCTTCTACTGAGGCTTTGTGGCTCCTCGAGTTAAAATAGCCCTCGCTCTGCGAGCAGTGTCCTGGCCATCTTTTCTAAGCTTTACCTAAGACTGGAGTCAAGTTCAGTCAGGCAGGCACTTTACTGAAGCCTGTAAACATTTTATTGGCTGGACGGCCTATCCTGGTTTTCTTTCTTTCTTTCTTTCTTTCTTTTTTAAAGATTTATTTATTCATACAGAACTGGGGTACAGGCCAGAGATGCGGAGGGTAATTGAATTCACCAGAGACAGAGTGGGGAGCAGAACAGGCAGATCGATGAAGTACACTGCTGAGGGGAGCAGCAGGCGGTCAGGAGAGGTCTGCCGCGCCATGTGGGTCACCTCCGGGGCAGGCGGGGATCGAACTCATGCGGAAGTGGCTTTAGCTTCTTAGTGCTGTGCTTTGACCTGCTGTGCCACCAGGGAGGGCCTGTCCTGGTCTTCACCCACCCCTGGACCTGGAGCCTTTCCCCTGAGCCTGGGTTTCTCAGCTGTATCCTCAGTAATTTGGGCCAGAGAACTCTTCGTCGAGAGGCCTGCCTGGTGCATTCTGGGGTGCTTAACTGCCCCCCTGACCATGGCCTGCTCAGGCCAGACAGCCCCCACCCGCTGGAGCGTGACAACCAGCACAGCTCCCGCCATGAGCAGATGTTTCCTGGGTGGCGGAGGGAGTGGTGGGGGGTGAGATCCTTTGAACTGTGCTCTTTTAAGTGGAGAAACTTTGAATTGTGCTCTTTTAAGCCCAACCTGACAACCATCCATCTGGTAATGTTACACTTCTACTAAACATTAATACACTAGGAGATCTTGTTTTCGAACTAAATGTTCACAGGGGGATAAAATGGGTAGGTGAGAGACAAGGCTACCAGCAGGCAAATGGGTCCCTCAGCTTGCTACTGATTTTATATTCACAGCTCAACAGAATGGAAGAATCCCATCAGGAAGCAACAGAAAAAGAAGTAGAAAGAATCTTGGGGCTCTTGCAAACGTATTTTCAAGAAGATCGTAAGTATGCCATGGCATTCCCAGATGGGGCCCTTTGCATTTCTCAGACAACACGAGGAGTTATTTTAATTTAAACGGCATTTTCCACGTGATGCTTGAGTTCAACTCTTTCACTCTTTGGTGGGATACGTCTTGAAGGAGGCTTCCCGTTTGGAAATCCCATATGAGAATTTGAAGTAACTTTTCACTTTTATTTTTAAACAATGAGGAATTTTTTCCATTACGTAATAAAACATGCAACGGAAGTGAGAAAAGTGAAAGGCCCAGTGTCTGTCTCTCCTCTCCACCCTCCCCGGAGGCAGCCACTTGTAAAACACGATGCGTGTGTTTTCTGTTTAGGACAATTGTGAGAATCTGCACATGAAGTAGTTGGGGTTTGGGGGTGTGTGTTGCTTTTTCCAAAACTGATCATAGTATGACTGGCCTCCTGCCTATTATGCCTCCCACACCCCCGGTTGTCAGTGATCCCCATTGTGTGGCTGTCTCCCCAACACCTTGAGCCGGCATCTACTGGCAGGTGGCTAAGAACCTTGGCACGTGCCTTGTGCTCCCACTGGTGACTCCCCAGGACAGGTGTTCGAGGACAGCCGGGTCAAGGGCAGGCAGGCGGTGCGTCCCGGTGCCAGCCCTGTCAGGACACGTCTGTTGCCTCCCTCGTCTCTGGCTCGTTCTCGCAAGGGCTGGCAAGCAAAGGTCATTTTCCCATTTTGAGGAATTTTGCCTTTTTTTCTACAGCGGATACGCCTATGTCTTTCTTTGACTTTGTGATTGATCCACATTCTTTTCCCCGGACGGTGGAAAACATCTTCCATGTTTCCTTCATTATACGGGTAAGAATTAAGATTATTTCTGTGATTGCTTATATGCCTACGAAAGGGTAAATAATAGAAGCTGTAGGTAGGAGCTGGCAAAGGTATCGTGCTCACTTGTGAGTATTTCAGACCTAGTCAGATAAGACATTAACTGACACATAGGCAGAGTAAACTAGCGAGAATGTGTGTGCTTTTTTTTACCTTTCAGAAATTAAAGACAGAATTGGCACGATTTGAATATGGACATGTAGATTGAGTGGCATAAGCTAAGTGTTGAATTTCCCCAATTAGATCGTTGTCCGTTTATGTAAGCAAATGAGTTCTCATGCAGTGAACCCCGAAGGGAAAAGAGGCTGGTTGTCTGTGACTTACTCGCAGAAAGAGTAATACCAGATGGAGTGAGGGTGACTAAATAAATGGCAACACGTGACAGCTGGCGAAGGCGAGGAAAGGTAGATGGGCGGCCTGTACAGTAACCTTGTGACTCAGGGGGTTGGCATGACTCCAGAATAGAAGCCTAAAAACAGGCCTTGTTCAGCAATGGACTCTGGTGACAGGTCTGCGGCCTGGTGTCAGGTTGCACTCCTGCACGTTTAAGAGTTTGATTCGAACCTTAGAAACCTTGTATTGAGCAAGGTATTTTTTCCAGAAATGCTATCGAAGGCATATTTTGTCAGTGATAAGTGATAGTTACGCATCATAAAAAGTAGTCAAAAGTTGGTATGAACCAGTAAACAGGTAGCAGTTTGGGTTGCAACAAAACGTCAGGCCGGGGGCTGTGCCTGGGTAACAGCTGCATAGAAGCCTCAGAGGACTCCATGAGGAAAGGCAGGCATCGGAGATAGCTTGATCACGGGATCTCATGATTGCTATGATACATTTTCAACTGTCTAACAGAATTTTGTAGTTGAGTGATTTTTTTTTTCTCATCCAGTGATTATAGGTTTTGACTCTAAATGTTGTTCTTCTCCTAACATGTTTGTGTTTTAGGATGGTTTTGCACGAATAAGACTTGACCAAGACCGCCTGCCAATAATAGGTAAATGAAACTACATTCGGGAGACTCCTCTTTGAAAAAATACACTGTAATTAGAGTTTATATAATGTTTTTTACCAACTGAGTTTCTAATCATAGGTAACTTTTACGATGCCATAGTTGCTTGACTGAAAATACAACCGTGGGTGAACAAAATAAATCTGCTGCTCTCAATTTAACATCTACTACTGTAAAGATGAACAAAGAACCTATCATTTCCCCAGAGAGTTTGTAATTGCAGATCTTATTGTAGTTTCCAGCTATTTTCCTCTGCTCCCCCTCCTCTCCTTGAGAGAATCTTTAATTTTTATTTGAGTAATTTCATAGTTTATTATTTATGTATGCATACAAGAGCTGGCGTATAGGCCAGAGGTGTGGGGGTGAGAGGATTCACCAGAGACAGAGTGGGGAGCTGAACAGGATGATCCACTGAAATACACTGCTGAGGGGAGCAGCAGGGAGGTGGGTCATGCCGCACCGTGTGGGTCAGCTTCTGGCCGGGGATGGAACTCGTGCTGCAGTGGCTTCAGATTGCTTCATAATGTTGTGACTTAACCCCTGTGCCATCAGGGAGGCCAATCTCATACTTTCTATTACTCTTTACCCACTAAGGTTTCTGGTAAAGAATGAAGCACTTCCACTGCGCTTACTTCAAAAGTTCTCAATGTCACATTGAACAGAAGAGAGCTTAGCTCAGTGCTTGGTATAGAGATAGCAGAGGATTCAGTGGTTGGAACGTTTTATTCCATTACATGCTTGTTTTTTTATTTTTATTTTTACATCATTTTGTGCATTTTTCCATCTTAGTTGCAATCCCCGTGGGCTTCCCATCACCAAATCACCCATGTGTCATCACCATAGTCCAGTGCATTTCCCTCCCCCCACTGATTTTGATCCCATTCCCCACTGCACCCCCATAAAATGTCTCTGGTATATAGCTGTTCATTATTATTATTATTATTTTCTTGACTGGTCCATTATACTCCTGCTATGAGTGAAATCATTCGGTATTTTTCCTTTCTGGCTTATTTCACTAAGCATGATCTTCTCCAGCTCCATCCATGTTGCTGCATATGTATCACGTCTTTTTTATCCAGTCACCCATTTTTGGGCATCTGGGCTGCTTCCATGTTTTTCCAATTGTAAACAAAGCAGCAGTAGACATGGGGGTGCAGGTGTCTTTTTGAATCGGTGTTTTTGTGTCCTTTGGGTAGATCCCTAGGAGTGGGATTGCTGGGTCGTAGAGAAGCTCCATTTTTTTTTTAATGGAAGTGCTGGGATGACTTGCCTCGGTAATAGCACTGTAACAATTCAGTAGGCCATGAAATTGATACAGGCTTCTATTTTATCAGCCTCAGCTCAGGTTACCACTTTTGATTGCATAACCTTTGCCAATTTTATCTTTCAAACAGAACCTGTTATTAATGAAGAAAGTGAGGGGATTGACCAAAACACCCAAATTCGGAATCAAGGAATCTTAGCTCTGAGTTACCGCGACTGGGAGGTAAAGCTCGATCCCTCGCCCCGGCAGTTGTCTGTCTGTCTGCGGACCCCGGCCCACCCGCCCTGTCACTGCCGTGGACCCCACCCCCCACCTGCTCTTTCTTTTCTGCAAGGAGATTGTGAAAACCTTTGAGATCTCAGAGCCTGTGATTGCTTCGAGCCAGAGCCAGGAGAGGCTGAGTGCTTGACGCCCACCCGAGGTAACATCTCCTGGGGGACATTGCTCGCCCTGACTCCTGTGTGCCAGGCCTTCCTGGCCTTCCTGCTTCGCTGCCTGGTGCTTTTGCCTCCCACCAGCGCCCCGTTCCCAGAGCTGCGGGCTCTGGAAGGAAGCAGAGCAGGCCCAGGGCCTGTGGTTTCCTTCTCTGGCTTGCTTGCTTGGATATTTGGACGCTTTGCAGTGGAAAGAGACAGAGCAAGTGTTAGGTCTTGGCTCGCCACGCCCCTGCCCCCATAAGTTGGTAAGGTGGATGGGTGTTCAGGGCTTCCAAATTGTCCCGTAAGGTTTGTTTGTTCAGCAGAGGGTCAGGACAGAATTACCTCGGAGTGACGTTAGTCAGTGGGAGTCTCTGACATTTGACTTAGGCTGTGAGGTAACTGGTCATTTTTTTTTTTTTTTAAAGATTTATTTATTTGTTCATACAGAACTGGGGTACAGGCCAGAGGCTCTGGGGGGGCGAGAGGCTTCGCCAGAGACAGAGTGGGGAGCAGAAGAGGCAGATCGACGAAGTCCACTGCTGAGGGGAGCAGCGGGCGGGTCAGGAGAGGTCTGCCGCGCCCTGTGGTCACCTCCGGGGCAGGCGGGGGTCGAACTCATGCGGAAGTGGCTTTAGCTTCTCAGTGCTGTGCTGTAACCCGCTGCGCCACCAGGGAGGGCCGGTAACTGGTCATTTTTGTGGAGGGGCCTGTCCTCGGGAGAAAGCACGGAGCAGGTGTAACTGTGGCCTGGGCTCTGCTAGCTCTGCCTTCCAGGCTCGCTGACCACCCTCAGCTTCATTTCCTCACCTGTAAGCCTGGGGGTAGGGGAGTCTGAATTAGAGGGTGGCTAAAGTTTTCTTTTTTCCAAGATCAAATTTTCTATGATTTTGAGTGCTAAAATGAGTTTTTCGGTATTTATGCTAAACTTTTTACGTGCTTCAAGTTTTTCTTCCAAGAGAGCAGCGACGTGAGTGGGGTGAGGTTGGCCTGGGCTCCGCTCGCTGAGGAGGGGCGGCTGGGGGTTCTCAGTGATGTAAAGTCAACTTGCCATTTGTCACTGAAATGCTGTTAACCAGTAATTTCCCCCTTTTTTTAGGACTCAAGGGAATCGTGACATCCAGCAAGGACCACAGCACGTGTTGTAAATATTGTATGATTAAACATTTTTAAAGACAGATTGTTTTTAGTAAAATGTAGCTTTTGATAGTTAATGAATTTGTCCTGGTTGTCTTTGATTAAAGGAAACTCACTGCCATATTCACAAAAAGCTACAGTTACTCTTTATTTCCTGTCCTTGGGAGAGTTGCCCCTTCCTCAAGCCCTCCCCCCCCACCCCACGCTTGGCGGGCTTGGGCAGCAGGTCAGCTGCCGGGCACTAGCGGGTACTAGGTTGAACCAGGTGAAACAGTTTCTTTTTCTCCTTTTTTTAAAGATTTATTTATTTTTGCATACAGAACCGGGGTGCAGGCCAGAGGGGCAGGGATGGTGAGAGGCTTCACCAGAGACAGAGTGGGGAGCAGAGCAGGCAAGTGACGAAGTCCACTGCTGCGGGGAGCAACGGGCGGCCAGGAGAGGTCTGCCGCGCCCTGTGGGTCCGCTCCGGGCAGAGAACCAAGCTCGCACTGAGGCGGCTGTGCTTCTCACAGTGTTGTGCTTTAACTGGTTGCGCCACCAGGGAGGGCCCAGGTGAAACTCTGTAAGTAAAACACGGCAGACAGCAGCAGTGTCCTCTGACTCGGGTCTCTGTTCTGGTGTTTTTGCTCTTCTACCTCCTCACAAAGAAACCTAAGATTCTTTTCAGCTCCTCACAAGCCCCAGTCTGACCCAGCCCCTGGACTCCACCCAGTCTCTACTTTCTCCATCTAAGTTCCAGCCGCACCCTCATCCCGGGGGTCCTCTGCGTCCTGACTTTCCTTCACATCTCTCCCGGGTCTCCCATCCACTTGTCCTTTCTCAGTGACCCCCTCCCCCCACTGCCCTCAAGGTTTGAAATACTGCAAGCTGTCAGTGACGTGCAGACTTGGGCAGCACCAGGCTCTGTGCCCACCCTTTCAGGCTCACTCTTCCCAAAGGCCTCCTTTTTGTGAAGGGGTTTTATTGAGGCAAGAGTCAGAGCGTATCACTCCTCCATTTAAAGTGTCCGAATCATTTATTCTCCAGTCCAGTCACAGGGCTGTGAATCGCCACAACCATCGCCGGTCCAATTTCAGGACAATCCTCCCTGGGGGCAGAATGTTCTAGAAGGGTGAATAGCAGTCACCCACCCTTCCCCACACACATCTCCTTGCCCTTAGCCCACACCAACCACCGACCTATTTCAATATGCATAATTTTGCCTGTTACTATCCATAAATTGGTGACTTCTGGACATTGCACATTTCTGGGCACACACGTGTGCCTTCACCGTTCAAGCGTGTGGTTTAGAGCCGCCAGCCTCTTTCCGAACTTCCGTAAGAAACATAAAAAGTGGTTACCTTGTGCAAATCAAAGTGGCAAAGCTGTAACTGCGTTTTGTGCCTTTCTAGAACTACTTAGTGTTTCCTAACTGCTTTTTCATTATTTAAAAAAATGAAGTTGGGTCCTCCCTGGTGGTGCAACAGGTTAAAGTGCAGCACTATGAAGCTCTCAGAAGCCACTGCAGCACGAGTTCGATCCCTGGCCAGGGAGCTGACCCACATGGTGCAGCAGACCTCTCCTGACCTGCTCGCTGCTCCCCTCAGCAGTGGATTTCAGTGGATCTGTCTGTTCTGCTCCCCACTGTGCCTCTGGTGAGTCCTCTCACTCCTCACACTGCTAGTCTGTACCCCAGTACTTATATGAATAAATAAATATTTTTTAAAAAAGGAAGTTAGGTGTATAAGGAAACCATAAACCATTTTTTCTACGAAATTCTGAATAGAAAAAACAAAATCATGATTCCCATTATCTCAACTCCTGGCCCAAAAGCCTCCCTTGCCCTCTGGAACTTCACACTGGACTAGACCTGTGTCTGTGCAGTGTTTCCAGCGGAGCCCTGGCCGGTGTCTGCCAGGCCATGGCAGCAGCAGGGAGCTGGCCCCTCTGTGGGCCTTCCTCCTGGCTGCCCTGCCTGCCTGAGAAGTCACCACTGGAGGTGTATTTTCCGCTTCAAATTCCCCAGGAATCGCGAACCTCGCTATCCTCATTTCAGTCTGTCTTTCCCACTGCAGATGTGGAGATGTGCTGCTTTATTTTTTCTGTTATTCACTTCCCCAAATGGACCAGAAGCCCCTTGAGGGCTCACCCTAGAGTCCCGGATCTCTGGCAGGGTTAGTAGGGCTCAAGCTTATGTACGTGACCCCAGTTGAGTTTTAGGTGCACGAGACAGTGGTGTGGTGACTTTAGCACACCAGTATATTCTCTGTCCATACACTGTGGAGGGGAGCCAGGACTCTCTCAGGCTAACTCAGGAGCGTGCAATCGTCGGTTTCTTTCTTCATAGAAGAATATTGATTTCGTTTTTATGAGCACTGCTGTCATGAAGAACCGTGTAGACCAGAATAATTAAAAAGTGGCTCCCAGTTTTTTCAAGGAAAAAGATGTTTCTCTCCCCTTGACTTTGGGCTGTGCTTGGTGAATTATCTGGGCAACAGAGAGGGCACAAGTGATGTTCTTGGGGTTCAGAGACCAGGTCCCAAGGCTTGTAGCCCGACAGGCCTCTGGGAGCGCCATGTAACAAGTCCGGCTACAGGTGGTCCTGAGACCAGCGGGAAGGGTCAGGGAGAGGGTGTGTTCAGCCAGCCTCTGGCAGCTCAGTCGAGGGTGCACAGGAGCTCTGACTTGGCCCCTGAGCCCTGCCCCACCTTCCCCTGAACCTCCCCAAGTCTCCAGGTGCCAGTGGTGCTGCACGGGACAGGAAAATGGCCAGGCTGAGTTCCACCTGAATTCCTGGTAGAGAACTGAGAGGATAGCGTGGTGGGGCTTGAAGTGGCAATGTGGGTGCAGCAACAAGGTGGCTGAAGCACGTGGGAACGCCGTGTTCGTGGGCTGCCTTTTACTGTCCCAGTTGCATGCAGAACTGGAGACTGGACTTTACTGTTCTAACAACTACGAGGGGTGCTGATCTTAGAAAGGAATACAGTGACCTAGAAAATAACTTAAACTTTATTTCTTTTCATCTGACTTCTCAGGAATGGTGGTACCCCCAGGAACTCTTTCGGGAGTGGCTTCTTAATCTCATACGGCCCTTTTGACTTTTCCATCAGAACCTTCACTTCCATAAGTGCTTCCCGGTACGGCTGGGCAATAGGGTAGGCAGTGACCCACTCATATTCTTTCGCTTTCTCTGGGGGCTTGCGGGGGGCAGTCACTGGGGTGGAGAGTTTCCCCATGGCTCGTTCCTCCTTTCTCTGCTCCATGAGGTTTCTCCCTCGAACCATCCGTTCCTGGTGTTTCTTTATCTGTTCCTCGGCCCAGGCCAGCTTGAGCTTTTTCGGTTTTGTTTTTTGTGTGTTCTGGATATTTTCAGTGGGGGCATCTTTCTCCAGCGTTAACGTCTTTGTGAGAAGCGTCTCACTTGATATTTTCTCGGGGAGCCGTCGGTACCTGTGGTCTCTGAGGCCTCTGGCTCGTTCGGCCCGGTGGATGTGTTTCTTTATCTGTCCCAGCTCCCTCTCAGGCACCAGGCAGTCCCAGGTCTTCGCTTCTGTGCTCACACACGGCGCTTTCCCGCCCTCTGTGGCAATGTCCCGTTTTGTAGCCACCCTGGGCCCCCACGCCTCTTTCTGCAGCATCTCTCGATGTCGCTGGCTGTGGTATGTCACTGCTTTGGCAAACCAGAAGTCAAAAGACATGGCCTTAAGTTTATCAAGTGTTTCAGTCTCCTGTTGGAATTTTTTGGCTAACAGTTTCCTCACTTCTGAAGAATGGACACCACCTAAACTCTTGTCAAAGGGAAGTGTTAGAGCTTTTTAAGTTGATGTCTTTGTCATAGGCCGTGGCACAGACCTCACGTGGCAAGCAGCCCTGCCTGGAGCTCTGACACCGTGTCCAGTTTGGGTCCCTGGACCGTGTTTGATGTCTTCAGACCTCCGAGCCTCACCCTTCCCCGCTCCTCCTTGCTGAAGTCTGTGCCTTAGAGTTCCTTGAAGGAACAAGGAAACGCCCTCCTCTTCTACCGACCCCCACCCAGACCCCTACCCCCCCACTCTGCCTTCTGGCTTCACTGTGGGGAGCTTTCCTCTTCACCCCTCAGCCAGTCCTTCCACCCGAGCTTGTGGAGATTCGAGAACTTCGATCTGCAGTGACCGCATTCCCTTCCACCCCTCCTACCCGATGGCTCCCCTTCAGAGTGGCTGAAGGGGCCCTGTGATCTGCCTGCACTGTTAACACCCCACTCTTCTTCCTCAAGCCTCTTCAGTTAGGTCTCCATCCCTTGGGATGCTGGGTGCCCCTAGGTCATGGGTGACTTCCACGTGAACAAGTCACGATCCCGTCTTGGTTCCCTATGGTGCCTGACTGCTCACCTTTCTACAGAGCTGACCATTTTCTGCTTCAAACACCAAGACTAGCTTGGGGATCTCTCCCCCTCCTTCCACCCCAAACTACCCATGCCACTAGGTAAATGTCTCCGGGTGACCAGATAGCCCAGCTGTCTTCCTCACAGCCGCTCCCTCCATTGCTCTGCCTCTTACACAGATGCAGCAGAGAAATTGTCACTTAAACCAGACAGAGTCCTGCATAGGCTCCCATGAACATGGTCAGTCTTGAGCATTGAACAAGGTGACTCATTACCTATTAGGCCTTGCTCTAGAGAAGGGGACAAAGAGGTGGGCAGGACAGTCAAGGCACCCCAGGGTGCCCGTGGCCCCTGAGCTTCTCACCAGACACTCCTTGGCACTGCCACTCGATTCTTTCTCCAGTGTTTTCTTTGGTTTTCCCTTTCATCCCGCACCCCGGTAGCAGCCCCTAGACCCGTGCTTCTCTCCGTGCCCAGAGTAAGCTTTGAATGGCGCACATCCACGTGTGACACTTTCCCGCACAGAACCCCAGTAATGTCCTATCACTCGTAGGACAAGACTCCGAATCCCAAGAGGACATCCGGCCTCTGGCTCCCAATAACCTCTCCAAAGCACTTAGCTGACTGCTTGCGCACTCTGCTGCAACCACACTGACCTTTCTGTTCCCTCAGAAGCTGAGTTCACTTTCCCACCATTTCTACCTGCTCCTGCCTGGTGGGCTCCTAGCGCACGTCTTGGCCATTTCCAGGTCTCAGCTTTAGTGTCACTTCCACAAACCTTCCGCACAGATGAGCAAGAGCCCATCTTTCGTGGCACCAGTTCGTGGCACTGTTTAACGTCAATGGCTCTTACTCGACTAAGCCCCCCGGGCCTTGAGGGTGTATTTGCTCAAGGGTGTGTAGCTGGTACCCCTTGGGGCTGGGGCCGGGGCTGAACTGGATATAACACGCCAAACACTCTCACTTGAGCTACCTGGGCCATTTTCACCTTCGTGATAGCTGCAGGGTCCTATTCTTGGTGCCAAAGGTCACAGGAAATGTACTTATCTCCTCACCTTAATCTTCTTTTCTAGTGGGGACTGGAAGCCGACTGCAATTCGAGGGTCTTGAGTATTTTTGGCCCAGGCCAATCTGCAAAATCGAAACAGGAAACTAGCCTAGGTTTGGGGGAGTTTTGGCACACGCTGACATGGAGGCGCTCAGCGAGCTGAACAGGGACTTGAGGTTATATTGAATTTCTATTTTTTTTTAAAGCAAGGGGCAAAGTGCTCTCTGCTGAAGCACCAAGACTAAGCCTGTATTTGAGGCCGTGCCGGTCAGAAGCACCTTGAACACTGGAGATCCAGTTGCTACTTCAAACACCACATGTGTAAAGCCAATCTCCTTGGGTGAGAAGTTTTTAAAGTTGGTCAATGTCAAATTTGGTTATGCATCAAGATATTAGCAATGCACTTAGCAGCTATTATAGATTTTGCCAATAGTTACAGCATTTGAGCAGTTTCATCACAAGGTTTACATTTCAAACAGATAAGCCAATTTGATGGCAAGAAAGTTGTTTCAGTTAATGCAGAAAAATACAGCAGAGAAATGGGTCACTTAGGTTGTCGTAGTCAAGCATAAACACCCTCAAGACCTTATAGTTAGCAAACAGGTTCTATGTTGTCTCCAGGGTTGTAAATACTGTTTCTCAGATTTCTTTTAGTAGCAAAAGGGAAGGCCATGCAACAGAGCCAGGAAAAGCAACACTATGTGCCTTTTAAATAAAGCTAATTTCTTGGGCTCATTTCTGTTTTCACATTTTTCTTCCCTAAATGTTCTTAAAATTATTTCCATAGCAACATTACCGGGCCTGCCATGTACTAGGCTAGCAACACCACCAGGCCCTGCGGCTACCTAATCCTCCCAACCACCACACGCAGTGGGTCTCATTATCCTTCGCTTCGTGGCAGAGAGCACTGAACAGAGGGTGGCTGAAGGTGCCAGGTGCTTCCCGCAGCTGGGTATGTGCCCACGTGACTCCAGGGCACGTCCTTCTCAGCCCTGCGCTACATTGCTCCCAGATAAGTGCACATTTTCCTGCCTTTATTCAAGGCAGGACAGAAAGAATACGTACTGTTCTTCTGCACTCAGACCCAGCCACTCTGAGTCTGACTCCAAGGGCGGGTGTGAGCACGGGGCCTGCACTGCTGGCCGGGCCTCCCCCAGTTCCCTGCTGTCCCCGCTCCTGGCAGCACTCCCGGGAAATGCCGCTGTTCTCATCGCCTCAAACTGCTTCTCCCTGGTGGCTCTTGCTTTAGCCTGAGCCCTCTCAGTTGCGAGCTGAAGGAACAACATCTAGGCTCTTCGCTCTCCTCAGGGTCTCGCCTCATCCGCTCTCAGCTCTCCTCTCTACCCTCTCCTTCTCTGCACGGCAGAGAACAGTATCCGGGCCATCAGGTTTCTGGTCCTCTTCCAGACGTCCACTTGCTGCCCTTGTTCCTTGGGGATGCTGATGGTCCTGGGGGCCAATTTCTAGGGCAACCAGCAGCAGTCACAAGCTTTTTTATGAGTCATCACCATCCTGGATTGAGACCACTGTGAGGTGGTAGGAGCTGGATGTCATCTGGTTGGCAGGGAGGGGACTTCAGTGTGAGCTGGACCAGTGAGCAGACAGAAACCAGGGGAGCTCTCGTGTTTGACAAACACCGGCACCTATCTCAGTGCAGTGAGAGATTTAGATTTATTTATTTATGCATAGCAGAACTGGGGAGTAGGCAAAGAGGTACAGGAGGTTTTGGGGGTAAGAGGATTCACTAGAGACAAGAGTGGGGAGCAGAAGAGGCAGATCGGTGAAGTACATTGCTGAGGGGAGCAGCTGGGAGACAGGAGAGGTCTGCTGCGCCCTGGGGCGGGGAGGGGGTGTCACTCCCTGGCCAGGGATGGCACTTGTGTTGCAGGGGCTGCTGATACTTCACAGTGTTGCCACTAACCCCTTGCGCCACCGGGGAGGCCCTGTTTCTGCAAGTTTTATTTCAATTTTTTTAGACATTGCAAAAACAAACAAAAAAACAAAAACCCACAAACCCCCCACAACACATCAACTTTATTGTTAATTGGGGAAAACACGGCTAAACAGGTTTAAATTATCTGTGCACACCGTGGGAAAGACGGACTATCACCACCTCATTGGAGAGACTCCTCCACCTCAGACCGACAGGAAGCCATCTCCCAAACACCGTGGCTGCAGCTTGGGGGTCCATAGGCAGTGTTATGCTTGGACTGTTAACAATCACAAAACACCCAAAAGTGCTATTTCAAAACGACATCACAACACACAGGAACGCAGATCTCACTCCTCTTTCGGGCCTCAGACAAGGTGGCACTAAGATGCCAGGGGAACGGGCGGCAGCGGGCTCTGGCAGCTGTTTCCCTTGCCAGTGGCCTGGGCTCCCCGCACCAACCCGGCCACTCACAGAAGGCGGCCTGTGGCCCCCATCTGCGCACATCGGGGCCAGCTCTGTGTGGACACTGGGAGCCGACGGTGCCGCGAGTCGCCACCCACGTGCCTCAGTTTCCTGGTCC